ATATGAGCATACGAAACCAAACGCGAAGGAGAAAAAGAAGAATAGAAGACCTGCTATCTTTACTACCAGGAACTTTGCCTTATGCCCATTTGAGGTTGGGTCGACCTGGTAGTCAAGGTCTTTTTTTAATAAAGAAAACAAAGCTGGTTCGATTCGGATATAATCCAACAACCTTCGGGTCCGCAGGCTAGCGTCTAGCTGCTACACCACATTGGGTCCCCTTCACCATTTATTTATGTACCGAAGTCCGCCGCCAATTGAACGAGGTGCGAGTAGTTTCTTACGGTCGGTCTTACGCGGAACAGTCACCCGAGGTAAAGAATTTTGCGGTGTATGGTACTAGCCCTGTATTGTTTTTATAATGCATCAGCAGCATTCAGTAGGTTATGTGGCTAACTGTGCGGCCTCTCTGCTTTACAGTCGCCTTGTGTTTAGTAAAAGTCATCGTTGTGTGACTTAAGAAATCCCAAGGACAGTAAACGCCATACCAAGGAACACCAGTAAAGACTTACTATAGAAAGGAAGTAAAATTTTTGCTACGTTCATTTAGTGGCTTAAGATGTCCCATAGGAGGAAGACATCGAAAGATGTACCGTGTACCAAGACAGTGAACGCCTTTCGAAAAACATAGCCCATTTTAAGGTGTCCCGAGGTCTGTGGTTAACTTACTTAGAAACGTAAGTGAACGACTTAAAAAAAAAAAAAAAAAACCAGTGACCAGTTAGAGAATTACACTGAGTGACTTATCGAGAAACTTCGATGAATTACTTACAAAGACAAGTGATCAAGTTGTGAGGCGCTTTGTGCGACTTATGGTGCTCCTCGGCCCTAAATCCCCTCATCTAACTGGTCGACGGACGACTTGACCCTCTCACTGAACATCGACATCTAACGTTGTGACAGGACACCAACCCAATTTCCTAAAATTTCTTATTTTATATTTAAAAAAAATCATAGCATCATATGACACAGTGGCCCTAACACATCATATGACACAGTGGCCCTAACACATCATATGACACAGTGGCCCTAACACCCCATATCTAACTAGGCTATACATGACTTGCCCCCTCACTGATCACCAGAACCTAACATTGTGACATGACACCAACCCTCTTTGTCAAAACTTTCTTACTCTTTATGAAGTCATAGCACCATACCCAGTTACCGTCAATGACCCCTAAAACTTCTCATGTAACTAGCTGACACGACAACTTGACTACTTATTGAACCACCGACATCTTACAAACTCGACACAGCACCCACCTCATTTACCAGCATTTTTCATTTTCCTTCCATATAAGTCATAGCATCATATGTAGTGCCACTCAATGACTCCTAAAACTCTCATGTAAGTAGCTGGCATGACAACTTGACCCCTCACCGATTCACCGGCAGCTAACACTGTGCCAAGACACACTCGCCTCTGTCATAATTTGTCCTTAATATATATATATATATATATATATATATATATATATATATATATATATATATATATATATAAAGTTATAGCACCATATACGGTAACAATCAATGACCGCTAAAACCCTCGCGTTGAGTAGCTGACATGATAACTCGAATCCCTTACTGATCACTGCCACCTAACATCTGGATATGACACCCATTCCTTTGCTATAATTTTTCATTTCTACTCTACACAGTCATAGCACCATGTACCCAGCAGGCCCGTATGACCCCTAACACCCTACAGCATGTTAGTAGATGACCGTCTATCGCCGCGTAGTTAAATACTACCATAACCACAGCTCATCAGTTAAATGTTGAATGTTAAATTAAGAATCGAGCACTCAGGAGACTCCTATAAGCACTCATTCCCCATCTTCAACAGCATGCAAAAAGTTCCAATTTCAATGGCACCAGTAACTGTCTGATTATATATCCGTCTCGCCTTTCCCCTGAGTGCAGAGCGCCTGTCAGATCCCCTGGTATCTCCTCGCAACGCTACTCTGCTCATACCGTAATTATCTAAATGTACCTCCATACTGTTCATTCGCTTCCAAAGGGCCCTCATAATATCTAGCTTGTCGTACATCAGTTCACCACCAAGTGGTGTAAAGCCGACCAATCTATATGCCTGCTTATTTCCCAACACACCAGCATACCCTGGAGAAAATATCCAAAGGACACTAACTAATGGGACCTCTGAAGTGATGCTTGCCGCTCTGCGCGCAGCATGCCTGTCTCCACCTCTCTCAACATGCTTTGTGAGTCAGTTACAATCACGGCATGTGTGTACAGCTGATTCTCAGTGACTTCTTCCACCTCCATTTTTAAACTAGACGTTGTGACATCATATGCAACACTTTGCTGCACTAAGCGACGTCCATTTGCTTTTACTATGAACCCCCGTGCACTTCGTTTGCCCCTCAACACAAAGCCATCTGAATGAATTATTACATCACCTAGGCGGGAATGAGTATGATCCGGAGGGTTCAGGCAGGTTAGGTGCGAAGACAATGGCTTTAATCATTACAGAAGTCCACTGTGCGTGGAGTCACCTTTATTTTTGTTCCGGGACACGCAGGCGTCGATGGAAATGAAAGAACTGATAGGTTAGCTGGATCCGCTATCACTATTGACGGTCAGCCTATGGATCATGCTGATAGTATTAATGCCCTCAGAGAAATGGGAAGGATAGAGGACTTTGGAGGCAGTGAATCCATATCACTCGCCAGAATGGCGGACTTGGGAATTAAGATCGGCATAGCAAAAAACGAGACGCACACCAGACAACTCGTTAATCAACATAGAACTGGTACTATTAGCCATCAGACGTTGGGGTTCATACTGAGGGGAGGATCTGAGCACCTGTAGACATGTCCGGAGTGCAATGATGATAATCCAACTAACTAACTAAGGCGGGAATTGTCCTGAATAAATTTTTCAACTTCTGATTCTGCAGCAGCAGCTGGCCAGTCCCTGCGCTCACGACCTAGGGTTGATTAGAACCCTACATAAGTCTGCAACTTGCTCGGACACCTTGACCCACGCCTCTCCTCGCCCAAATATATCAAACCTGCACACATGTCCTATTGTGTCTTCTTCTTGCGCCATCCATGGTCTTCCTCCTTTCAGTCTGTGACCCTTAGCTCTACCTAGGGCTTCATGCAGGAGGTGCTTCTTGTCTGCAGCTACTCGGATATAAGACGTTGCATGCAAAACTTTGAGCCTATCAGCAATAATAGGCAGGGCAAAAATATATCGCATACACACTACCTGGGTATCTTTTTTACATCCCAGAATTATTTCATGGCTTCATTCTGTATGCGTTTAAGTATTATCAGCTGACTCTTTGATATGGTAGGCATTCCAAGCATTCCATCTATCACCGACCGGACCACATGTTGGAACATTGTGAACTGCATTCTTTGTTCTATGTCCATTGCTGCCGTAATTTTAAGAGCATTGAGTCCTTTTTGGCATTTCACCGTAACTGCCTCCACATGATCCCCATAAGACAGGCTTCAACCGAAAGTGATACCCAAGTATCTCAGTTTGCTTTCTTTTTTAAAGTTACTGTTATTAATTTAGAGGCTTTGAACATTGGCTCTCATAATTCTATTGCCCAGAGAGCACCACAAAACAGCCACCTTTTCTGTGCTGATGATAGCTCCCATTTTTGCACACCAGTCACTTTGTTTACAGTTGCTTGCAGCTCCTTCGCAGTCCGTTGTCTATTACCCCCCCCCCCCCCCCCCCCCCCCCCCCCCCCCCCCCGCCTATATGCAAGAACATCATCGGCAAATGTTTATAACCTTCCAACACCTGGTGCTTCAAATTCTGCAATCTTGCTTAGATACACATTGAAGAGTACTATTGAAACTGCAGAACCCTGAGGTAGTTCCGGTGATACATTGAATGGTTTTGGGGTCCATGTACCCAGGCGAAGGGCAACCACACGTGAAAGCAGGACAGCTGCTATCCATTTCATAAGCCAGGGACAAACTCCATTCTCCATTAGTGCAGAAATCAAAATATCATATCTCACTCTATTGTAGGAATCCTCAAGATGAAGTGCTGCCACAGCCGTCTCCTGTCTGTTCTGGAACCCCTCATAAACATCAAAAGCAAAGGTAGCCGCATTTGACCAAGTATCTTTCCATGACCTTTAACTACCCTCACTTTTTGGCAGAAGCTCTTCCCTTTCCAAGAACATCTGTAGTTTAACAGCAATAATCTTCTCTAGCACCTTACTAAAAGTATTCTGTAGGGTGATAATCATGAAACCGCTGTCTAGAATTATCTTTGCCTGGTTTTGGAAGTGTGATTAGGTAGCTGTGTAACCTAGCCCATGGGTACTGAAGCTGTTCTGATGCTCTGGTTAAAGTGAAATGCAATCTCCCTCAAGTCTCCATCACTCATGCTCTTCATGTGGGCATACCTGACTCCGTCAGGCCCAGGCGCAGTCTTTTGCTTTTTGCAATACACATTTTATAACAACCACCCTAGCGATATCCTAAAAATACTATACATGAGACAACACGAATATGTTGGAACAAAAGCATGTTGCAGAGGCTGCCGGATCAGCAGAGCGGAACAGTCTGTCGGAACTTCACTCTTAGACCAGCTTATCTGCCAACCACGGCTTAAGATCTATCTAGTTTGCCATGCCCAAACATTAAGTTGCTAGGTTGCATCTGTCGTGATTGGATAAGGCTAGTATGCTTATCTATGCATTTCTTTGTTAAAAACTACACGATGCTGAGAAATTATTCAATGGTTTGAATATTTTTGTATATAAATTTCAGTGGTATTTCTTTTCCTTCTTAAATTTACTACCTGCTCCTGGTGTTGTTTTAATCAATAAATGAAATATGATGAAAATATATTTAACAAATAGTTAGGAAAAGTTTTAACAGCAACCATGCAATAATTATTTTTGCAAACAAAGCGGCCTTGAATTGTATTTATGGCTCACTTTTGGCAGTAGAAAAATCCCGGCCACCGACGAGAGGGTTTGGCAGGACACTGACAAAATGGCTTCCATCCGGAGAACTGACATCATGCAGAAGAAATATTCGAAAGGCCGCCCTGCAAAATCGGAACGAGATAAAATATACAAACGTCAGGAAGTCTACAAATGGAGAGATCTGAGACGTGTGTATCTGGCAAGCTCATTCGATCGCTGGAGAAAACTACGGTCGTCTTTGAAACTGAAAGACTCCAGCCTGGCATGGCATTTGATGGAAGCTCACGAAAAGGGCTACTGCACTTTTTGCCGGTGAGTTGCACAAGTTATGTAAATGTACCATACTTGGCATTGCTTATTACAGTGTAAATCGAATATAAAGCTGCAGTTAAAGGTTATTAAAGGGCGGTTGAAGAAAGCTGTTGTTGACGTGTCACTTGTACGGAGACCAAAGTTTGACGCCAAGTCGGCAGATGTTTGACCTACTTAGTTTATTTTGTCATTCCAAAAATAGCATGTCTGGGTCTGGATTTGGGTTATTTATAGGACGCGCCGTGTTTATTCTCAACGTAACTACATCTAGACATTACTTCATGTCCACATTATTTCCTTTCAAATAAAGCCTTATATTTGCTGCATAGTGAAAGGCGCCCTTTTCTTTGTATTAATAAAAGTACTGTCAACTTATATTTGCCCATTCGATTGTGTAATTTCCACCCACAGTCTCAAGTCTCGGGTCTCCAAGACCAAGATTTGGCACTCATGGATGGGTCAAATTTTTGAATGCTTTCTCTTGAATTTAAAGACAAGAAGAGAACGAAGTGTCCAGGAAATTTAAGTAAATAGAAAAGGAAAAAAAAAAGCTTTAGAACACCACAATTCACTGCATTTAATAAGAGCATAACAATAACAAAGAAATATAAAAAAAATTAATGTCACATAGACTTGTCACTACAATAAAAATAATAATTCATTAAATGATACTAAGTTTAAATTTATTAGTTTGATTTATAAATATCTTACAGTAAAGTGATACACAGTTGTGAGTCTAGTGTAGAAAGTTATTTTAATGTTGACCAGATTCAGAATTAATTACACAAAATGCTGAAATCACAAATAATTTTTAAAAAGCAACAGTAGCTTATTTAATATAATAAATTATTATATACTGGTGATTTTTGTATTGCTAAATTTTTTATTATGAAGATATGCACAAGCAAGACATGAATGGTACATTTATTAAGGTGGAGAAAGAGGTCATGATTTCTATTGCATAAAGAAGAAAATTACTAGAGGTTAAGTTAAGATCTGAGCATTTGAGAAGAAATCATGTGATGGCACAATGGACATGTCCTAATCTTAGTAGCTTTGTTAGTCACAACTCTTTTGGAAAGACTGAAAGACACCAGCAGAGTACAAGTCAGTGTCTTAATTCCACAATTGCAGTGTTAGAACAGAAGGCAAGGAACATTTATAATTTTTAACATTGGTACTAGAAATAAAAAAACAACAAATAAAGTGGTTTGGACACCTAACAAGAATGCCCTGGTACTATCTGCCACAGCGAGCCACACTAAAACGTTACAATGGATATAGAGCGAGTGGAAGACCTCGGAAAAGATGGAGTGATGGCATTAAGATAAAGAAATAAACATCAGTCTTAATAGTGCTCTTGACAAAGCTCATCAACGTACATTACATCTCCCCCCGACACTTCGATGAGGTACAAGGTGGAAGAGAAGAAGAAGAAAAAAGTACTAGAAATCTTTAGAAATGAATGAATGAACAATAAATTAAACTAGTACCAGATTTACAATCCAGTTCCAATATCATCTGTTTCATTAAAAATGGTAGTAGAATGCTTTAGATTATTATCATCAGTTGTGAAAATTGTTTCTTCTTTTTCTTCTTTCGTTCGCCTGAAATAAGTTGTCTATATCAGCAATCGTGTCTCTTGTATAAATTTCACTGTCGTTGTTAGTTCATTCAGTGGTCCATAGAGTTTACATTTCACTGTTGTTCATTCTGGCCTAAAGGTTTGCCTTAATGTGTCTAATTCGGTGCAGCCCTGGAGTACATGATCTGCTGTCTGGTACACCTTTCCGCAGGTGCTCATGGCTGATACACCTATCTTGAATTTTGTGTACATGTAGTTACATAATCGCTTGCACCCTGTTCTGAGATGGAGGATAATGACTTGTTCTGATCTGTCCATAATAAGTCATCTTGTGCTGGGGCTGGTGGTTTCCTGATCGATTTAATTATCCTTTTCTTCTGGTGGTATGTGACTGGTACATCTGGATGAACACTTTTGTTGCACCTTTCCCTGCCAGGTCATCAGCTTTCTCATTTCCAGGCACTCCACAATGAGACGGTATCCACTGCATTACGACTCTTCGCTGAAGGCTGAGTTGTGTCAGCAGTGTTTGCAATTCTGGTAGTTTCCTAGACTGGAGTGCTTCAAGTACTGATTTAGCATTTGTCAGCATTACCACATACTGTGAGCCAAAATTGGTATTTAGCAGTTTCTCTGTTGTTATCTTGATAGCTTGAGTTTCTGCTTCATAGTTATGGCAGTACTTCCCGGTTGGTACGCTGGACTTATCCCTTGTACCATCTGGAAACTACTCAGTCAAAAAATAGCCGTCTCAACAGTTTATGCTGATTGTAGTAGATATCCAGCATGCTTTGCCTCATTAGTTTTACTCTTTCTCTCTCAGACTGCTGTTTGTCATCTCTTACTCTTGGATATTGCTAAGAGTAGGCTAGTGCTCTTGCACAGTTACGTGGGGAGGGGGGGGGGGGGAGGACATGCCCTTGGGTAGAGAGAACCCATTATTTTTATGGAATTTGTCTGAATGATGTAAAACTTACACAGAATCACACCAGAGGCAGACACTCTTATCTCATGGATAGATAGGGCATAACTTGTATAGACCCACTGCCTCCTCAGTAAGCATGTCTTAAGAGTTGACTTATTGGAGGCTTCCATTGAAGTCAGAGTGTATCTGCCTGAGAGGCAAGGAACCAATAATCTGCCTGCAGATATGGCAGATCTGTAAAACTGATGCATATACAACACTCAGGTTCCAGAACAAGACTAAAATCCAGAAGTGGACAAACAACCAGAACGTTCCGCCAGAAGAAGAAGAAAATTGTCACATGCTACAGTTAACTTTTGATGTTGTGTTTCCAGACATTGTCACCACCAGTCAACGAAGGAGAGAGGAAAACGGAGAAGAAAATTTGACCGGAAAGATTTTCTGCCAACCCTCATCGCGACAGTCAGACAGCTTTGTTATACACATTTTGATTTTAATGAGTGTATTGAAATCGTAGGTCTTTTATGTCTTGAGTTTGACAAAGCACACAAGGAGAACTTTAGCATTAATGAATGTGTTCAGTCGAGTGGCTATCATGTTTCTGATTCTAGTGCTGAGCTGCTAAATTGCTCACTAGAGGACACAGATGCAAAGTCTAGTCTAGTAATTTCACCTGCTGATTATCAAGACATTCATGAACTGAATGTATCTGCACATAAGACTTCATCACTTGTAGCTTCCACCCCTTGTTCAGCTGTTCCCACAGACACTACTACACTTTCAGCGAATATAAATCTTTCACAGACAGAGAATTTGCAGTTGCAGACTTCATTTGAGGATTTGGATACCTTGTGTGCCACATCAGATAAACCATTTGTGCCACAGGAGAATGTAACAAATGATGAACACCCATCTGATGAACATCGATTACCTTGTACACTTTTGAGAAATGCTATCAATACAGATAGTACATGTATGCAAGCATCCCCTCGTCAAATTGAGCATATGGAAAGCACTGCAGTGACTTTCCAACTGAAGCCTAGTGAAGAGAAACTTGTGGACTCCAGTATGTGCTCAGAATCTGAGCCTTCACTGGAGATCGATATAGAAAATATGGACACTTCTCAAGAAGAAGACAACACTAATAAGAATTCTCAGAAGGAATTGCTGCCTGACCCTAAACTCAAGCTGCATACTTGCTGTGGTGATTCATCTTTGCCATTCGTTGGTAATGATTTGAAAAGCCAGCAAACTACAGAGAACATCACATTACACAGCAGTGGAGTAAGCAAGGTGCCATCTTCAGAATTCACCTGTGAAGTTGCAGAGAAGGATCCTCCAGTAAGCTGTCCTGTGAAGCCTGACAGCATGGATTTACCTCTGGATATGTCTGTGCTAAAACCTATTGTCAAGAAGGAGCCAGGTTATGGTCTGTCATCTAACAGGTAAGAATTTCTGGCTCTTCTTTGCATTCACCAGCTTTAAAGTCCGGTAGAAAGTGCTAGTTATTTGTCCACTTCTGGACTTAAGTGTTGTACCAGAACCTGATTCATGCATACACATCCGTTTAACAGATATGGCTTATGTGTATGTATACTGCTGGGCCTTTCTGGGAAAGGTACAGATATGAAAACTCAGTCCTGTGGATCAGTTTGTGTGTTGATGCCCTTTCATGCCATGATACCAGACTGCTTAGAATTTCTTTTTTCACTACTTTTCTCTGTCTCTTTTCCTATTAATCGGATGCTTTTACTGACTCCCCCACCCCAGACAGTTAATTTTTATAATTCATTTTTTCCCCTTGCAAACCGCACAAGACATATAAAAATCTTTTCTTCATAATTTATTGTATGGCACATTTTCTATGTCTCGTATGCTATTATAAAATGTTTTCATTTTCGGGTATGTAGAATTCTTAGCTCAGATATGCAGACGACACAGTTCTCCTTTCCAACAGTGTACAGGGCTCAAAATAATGAAGAGACTGAACATGTCACAGGTTTTGAATATATAGGCTTCTTTATGTGGGTTCCAGGGCCCCATCATGGGGAAAACGGGAATAGACCCACTGCCTCCTCAGCAAGCATATTGTAAGTGTTGACTATTTTATGTAGACTTGATAATGAACAACAATGGAGACTGAACAGAAAAGGGTTACAATGAAGAGGCTAAATGGCTAGGTACAGCACCTGCAAGTGAGTTCAAGTAAAAACTTTTAGTTCATGCATCTTTTCTGTGGCAGTTTTTGGATGTGAGTTATGAACTTTTGAGCTTTTGAATAAAAACAATTTAAAAAAAAAATAAAAATGCAGTTGACCAAGAAGAAAAACACAGACATCCTACATGATCTAAACATCTGGGAGAATTGGCACTTAAAGAGCATGTTGTCCAGAAAGCTGGGGTATTGTGGCCATGTTTATTGTCATGATAGCCTGGAGAGAACAGTGATGGCAGGTTCAGTTTCTAGAAATCAAGGCAGAAGCTGACCTCCATAGTGCATACAAGACATTGAAGATGCATTGACTATGAAAGAACATAGGGCTGGAGTATTGAAGAGAGAGAGAGAGACTTTCAGATGTGCCGTGTAGAGAGTGATGTTCCGTAAAGGTCAGTCTGACTGACTGATGATGGGGGAATTCTTAGATTGGGGAATTAGTATGACTATCCTGTAAGAGTTATAACATCGATTGACGAACCCCTGGTAGAAACGAGAACCAGAAGTGTCATGGTAAAAGTAGCTCTTTGCTTGGTGGAAAGAATATTTAATAATAAAATCTGGCCAGGGTACAGAAGAGTGTTCTAGTTCTATATACAAGATAAACTGTTGCCTGCGGATCTCAATGTCGTGGGTTCGGGCCCTGACGGAGCCGGACTTAAACAAAAATGACAATAGCTCCTAGGTCGACCCATACTTAAATGGGAACTAGGTAAAGTTCTTGATTTGTATATGCTGAAAAAGGCTTCATAGCTGCAACGTTCACGTTTTGTTTTTATTTGTTATATTGTAAAGCTTGCTAATTTACTTTTTGTTTGGTTTTATATCTTTTCTTGGGAAGTAAAGGCGTTGGCATGATGTTGACCACATAACCCACCGAGTGCCACTAGGACAATAAAATATAGATCTTGCTCTGTATACCCAATGTCTCAATGCATGAAAAGGCTCCTTTACTTTTATATTTTTTTACTGTTGTTAGACAATAAGCAGATCTACTGAGAAATTTCTAATGGCATAAAGAATGTGAGTTACATAGATGGACAGATTTGATTTGATTCAAGAACCGACATCACAGCACTCGGGGCATTCCCATAAGCACTCCGTCCCCATATTCAGCAGCCAGCGAAGAGTTCCGATACTAATTGTGCCAGTAGCTTTCTGATTAAACGTCCTCTGAGCCTCGGGCATCTGCCAAAACCTCTCGTCACCCCCAACTGCATCAATCTCACCAGACTGTGGTGATCCATCTGCTCCTCCGGATTGTACACGCTCTCCCACAAGGCCCTAACCACATCTGCCCTATCATGCAGCAGTATTCCACCAAGTTGTGCAGAGCCAGCCAGTCTCTCTGCCTGTTCATTTCCCAACACACCGGTGTAACCCGGTGAAAAAATCCAGACAATACTCCTCACTCGTGTCCTCCGCAGCGAAGCATGCATGAACAGAATGACAAATTAAGCAGTCCTTCAGGGAAAGTAAAAATTAAATTAATGCGGAAAATTCGAGAGAGAGAGAGACTGTCAAAATTGGATGGGTATGTCCTGAGAAGAAATAAATGTGAAAACTTGTTGACAACTAGCAGACTTGATGAGAAGAAAGCAAAGGAAAGACCTCGACAGCCTGAACTCATTATGGATTTAGGACAGGGGTGCAAACCTGAACCATGACAGGTGATTGTATGAGTTGAGTTTGAGAGTTGAGAACTGACATCACAGCAGTTGAACATTCCCATAAGCACTCTGTTCTTATCTTCCATAATCACTCTGTTCCCATCTTCCATAACCGCTCTTTCCCCATCTTCAGCAACGCTGATCTTTCTGGTTTGTTTTTGTGTTTTTTATTCCTTCAGTTTTTGTTTTGGATGTAGCTGCGGTGTCCTGTCTACAGCATAGTTGCCATATTTGTGCTTTTTGGCTGACACATCCAGCTTCTTCAGGCATTAGTTGTCCGGGTTAGTCTTCGCAGTTAGTTTAATTGGGCATATGTCACTTGTCCGACACAGATCAATAACTTTAGTAGCACGTCCTACTTTTGAACTCTTGTTTTCATACACCATTTACACCCAGAAACTTGATATTGGAGCCAGTGATTGACATTCTTCTTCTTCCTCTTCTGCATTTGCCCTTTATATGTTTGCCGCTTTTGTGTTGTGGTTTATAGCTAGGCTGCAGTATCTGCACCTTTCGACCCAACACATTAATTTTCAGCAAACATTCCAAAATTGGACATTGAGTACTGTAAAGTGACAAGTGCTTGCAACAGAAAAAGTCAAGAAATATAAACAGCCACAGAGTAGTCAATGGACACTGGTAAATTGCTTGGTATTGCATGAGTCAACATTGCTAGAGCCTGTCACACGCGATCTACATTGTGAATAGCTTACTGCTGCATGCCCGGACACCCACATGTTACCAGTGTTGTTGAGAATGTATCATAAACAAGCCGTCATAGATAAAAAGTCTATTGAAGATAATATTGATCACAACTTAGTTACACATTCAGGCTGACATTAAGTATCGGCTAAGCTGACTACATCTGATAGCCTCTTCGACAGCTGTCATCAAAAGCAGCAGTATAACTTACTGCAAGTTTAAAAAAATATTTTTACTGTGGCCATTATCATAGTCATTAAAAACATTGTACTTCTCTGTGTTGGATGCTCTGTATTTGTGAATACAACTGTTTTATATGTCCATGTTTTATTATCTGAAATAAAGCATTGATTGTAATGGCTTACTTCCACATTTACAGTGTTCATGATTGCCACAGTGATACTTCTTCACCAAATTACAGAGATATTGAAGGAGCTCATGTGGAACTGTTCAACTCCTTGTCCGGTACTGGCAAAAGAAAGGTACTTTGATTAATCACTTTTATTGTGAATATATATGTGGTTTCACAACACGATACTTACAATTCCCTGAATAGCTAAAAATGAGTAATACAGATATTGTGAAAGAGGCTAGATCCAAAGACACCTTATCACAAAAATCGGACAGTCATTTTTTTTTTAAATCTTTTAACTTATGGGAAGAAAGGATCTGGAGGATGTTGTCATAGCTGAAAAGATTTGCAGAAAGAGAGGTATAGGAAGACAGTGCAAGAAGATTCTTGACGACAGCCTTTTGGTATGGCGGGGGGGTGACAACATTTGAACTGATCGTATGTTGTGGAGAGACATGATCTCCCGCACCAGATGATAATGATTGTGAATATAATTAAATATATCAGTGCTGTCGAGCTTCAGCACTCTTTCAAATTAATGTTCATTTGAGGAGGGCATCAAACAGATTTGAAAGTGAGCACATTTGTACTAGTAATAATCATTATACTATTTGTTTTAGTTTAGTTATTTAAAAAAAATTTTTTTTAAAGGCAGACACCAGTCTGCAGCTCAGTGTTGGTGCAAACAGTGAAACTAAAAGCTGGCATTGTACCCGTTAGTAAAAGTACACGACAGTAAGGGATATGCAAGTATCCGACAGTAGGGGACACGCAGGTGCAGGAAAGAAGGGGCATGCAGGTACACGACAGTAGGAACACGCATGTACATGACAGTAGGGAACACGCATGTACAAGACAGTAGGGCACACGCTGGTACAACAGTGACACACAAGTACTGGACAGAGCTGCTGTAACATATGCTACTTTTACATACTTGTATTGTAAAGGTCGAATTTAAGCCTGTTGGGAAAGCTGACAAAACCTACAGCTTTGAGAACCTTTGTCAAAATGATATTTTTAAGTCACGTTCGAAAGTTAAAAAGTAGAGAGGATCAACTTTATTGCACTAGGTTTGGTCCCATATAGCTCTCTCTGGCTAGCCGCCAGCCGAGAATGCCACACATAACATGAAACTACGTAAAGGACCATTTTCCGTGCATGTTCTGTTGGACATACAAGGCTAGACATATTTTTATAGAGCATTTGGCACTGTGGATGATTTGGTCAAAGTCACGCTGGCCACCTTTACTTCCCATGACTTTACCTGGTAGCCATTTATATCTGCGTTGACCTGAGCCAGGGTCATTTGTGAAATAAAAGTCTGGCTTCGTTCATGTTTGGACACATGACTTTCTGATCCGCAGGCAAGCATCTAGCCGCTATCTAGCCCCAACATTAATCTCCTAGGTCCTCTGTAGAGATTGCAGATGTTAGTTGAACTATCCACTCCATGAAATGAACTCGGGACCTTCAGAGCATGGGGTAAACAACTTGAGCATGGTTTAGCCTTTAAAAGATTTAACTACACACTAATATAAAACTAATATAAAAGACAATCGTAGACTATTGCTGGACCAAGAAATCAGCATCAGGATAGGTAAGGCAGCAACAACAGTGAGCAAATTGACAAAGAGAGTTTGGGAGAACAGAAAGCTCACAATTAAAACAAAAACCCTTGTCTATTAGGCTTGTGTTCCCAGCACTCTGATTTAGGGCAGTGAAACTTCGTCAACCTTTTTGCACCAGAAGAGACAGCTAAATAGCCTTTACGTGCGATGCCTAAGAATGATACTTGGCATTAAGTGGCAGGACAAAATCACACTGAGGTACTGGAAAGAGCAGGTACAACAAGTCTTTCCATGTTCAGTCTATAAAGGCTCAGGTGGCTGGGTCATACATGGAGAATGGCAGAGTCCCTAAGGACATCCTTTATGATGAATTAAAAGTAGGTAGAAGATGTCTAGGCTGACTACGGTATAAAGACGTGTGCAAGTGGGACATGAATGATACAGGTATTGAGGTGGACTCATGGGAACAAAATGCTACGGACCATGTTGTGTGGAAAGGGCATATCAGGAAGGGAATGAGAGTGAAGGAAGAAATGACTGCGGAAAGGATGAGAGGTGAGCCTCTGAAAAGAAACGGATTAAACACAAATGTTGGCAACAATGGTCCTGTAATCCCATGCTGTCATTGTGGATATCTTTTCTTGACACGGGTGGGTCTTGCTAGTTACACTCGCCATTGTCATGGGCTGTGAGTCCCACGTTTCCTCATAGCACAATCTTACTCTATCGTCTGGAAAGACGGAAATGTGCCAATGAATTTAAAACCTGATGTTATTATTATTATAGCTGCAGTCTAATATCAGAATGTATAACTGTTTCAGATATCGGAGACCACTAGTATGTCACCTCAGAGTTCAAGACGAAGCCCATTTTGGCTGGAAGGTTTGCATACTTTACCTGGGAAGGTGAAAGAAGAGGGCCATGTAAGCATACCCTGGCAGCGAAGAGATATGTCCCGCAAGGAAGAATATGAGTTTTTGGAGATGAATCCCTTCTCTGATCTGGCAGACTTTAGTCAACGCTACCCTCACGTCCACCAGCGTACATACTACCGCTGGAAGCGACGTATCAAAGAAGAGTACATCATTCTGGAACAGTGTCCTAGCATGTCATTTCAAGATTTTAGCAGTGTTGTCCTGCAAGCCAAGGAGTCTGTCTTTCTTCACTGGAAGTCACTCATTGCTCAAGGAAAGGGGTTTTTTGCACCATCAGATACCAAGCGTTTGGAATCGAAACCTTGTGTGAAGCCAAGCTCACAACATAATAGTGCTTTTGCATTTATGCAGAAGAATCTTACGTGTACATACGAACAGTTTTGTCAGCAGTATCCAGGGACACCAGCTGATGTGTATAATGTGTTGAAAAGAAAAGCAATGCAAGAGTTCTGGTTATTTCATCAGAATAAGCATCTGAGTTATAAGGAATTTTCAAAAATAGTTAGTGTAACTGAAGATGTTTTTAATACATGGAAAGAGTATATTGAAGGTTTTAGGTCAAATACTGTATCCTCTAATTTGAAGACAGTCTCAAATAATTTGGCACAAAACCAGTCACTGCCAGTCCCTTCCATTTATTCTTTAGATAGTTCACACTCATTAACACCGGATTTACAGTCATCCACAGAAGGAGGCTATAGAATAAAGGATGGCTGTACGATAAATGAGTCAAAAGCAGCTGCCCATTCTGGTTCCTTAAATTCGGCACTGAGTGATTCTGTTGTCAGAAGCCTGTCGACGAGTTACTTGGCCTCCCTACAGAACATGATGTTTCCTTGGCACAGCTATTATGGGATGACGTCACCTTTAGGTCAGCAGATGCTTCCAATGATGCTGTGGCCAGGGATGATGGGACTAGCTGGGGGCTTAACAAACTCTATAGGTTTAATGTCGGGCTTGCATGCTAATGGGCTTTCAGAACCTAGTTCTGGCACTGAATTGCGTAGTTCAATGTTGGAAAGCACTGAATCCATCAAATCTGATGAATCTCAGAGCAGTCAATCTGATGAATATACTCATAGCAGTAACATTTTCAGAAGCAGTGAGAATCAAGAGCAGGCTAAAAACTTGGATTCCTCTGATTCAGAGAAAAGGTTGAAATTATCAAGTGACAGAGATGATATGGATGTCTCAGGATCTGCCAGCAGATCCAGAAAACAAAATAAACAGGAATATATATATTATTTGAAAAATCCAGAGTTATGTTTCAAAGAGTTAGAGTCGCTGTTTCCATCAATTTCACTGCGGACATTTTACAGATGGCGTAAGGAAATGAATGCGGCCGTCCTACTGTTGGAGGATAACAAGGACCTCCCTTTCTGCCAGTTTCAGATGATTTTCCCAGATATTCCTGAAGATATATTTGAGCTGTGGAAAGAAAGGGTTGGCAGAGGCTTGTCACCCACTTCAGAAAAACATATCCAACAGTCTTTAGAGTCTGGGGAGATATATCACCCAAACCAGAGCACTTCTGTTTCAGGTAGGAATTCAGCTGAGCTGTCAAAATTAATGGAAAGCAGAACAGCGGAGGTGATAAATAGTAATTTCAGTCATAATTCTATCACAAATTATGTTCATTTTGGTGGAAAAGAATCTGGAGCACGTCTTTTTAAAAAAGTTAAGGAGGGTTACCATTATGTTCAGAAAAATCCTGATGTTGATATTGCTTCATTTACTAAATTATATCCTGATACATCGGTGAGAAGTTTCTATAGATGGAAGAAAGAACTAAAAAACACCTTTGCTTTCTTGAGAGCTAATCCAGCAATGACTTATGCAGAATACAAGTTGGTGGATTCTACAGTCACTGAGGAAGTATTCAGAGTATGGAAGGCATTAGCACTTGACAATAATGTTATTAAAGAGGAAATACTAGAGGACCATACATCAGCTGGGGTCAGTGAAACAGGCATATCAAACCACAGCAGTAAATTTATTAGTCCTGAATATTGGTTTCTGCAACTGAATCCTTACATTGAGTATTCCCAATTTTGCTGCACCTATCCTGATGTTGCTGAGCATACCTTTTATCGTTGGAAGCAAGAAATTTATCAAATCATGAATTACATTCGAGCTGAGCCAGTAGTTGAGCTGGCTGACATTGCTGCTATGCTGCCACAAGTATCTGAAGATGCATTTTCTAGGTGGAAGCAAATTATTGCTATGGAAAAAGAGAACTCAGTTGATCATAAAAGGGCAGTCACAAAGGAAGTTGAAGAGTCGGCAGAGGAATCAGAAGTTAAACAAGAATCCAACAGCCAAATATCTGAGGCCATGTTATACCTCATGCACAACCCTACAGTGGACTATGACCACCTGAGAGTCAAGTTTGATTGTGTGACCATTATGGCTTTTGACCAATGGCTTAATAGAATTAAAAGTATAATCATGTTTATTGTGTCTAAGCCAAGCATTAACTACACAGCATTTAGCACTAACTTTAATGATATTACAGAGGACATCTTCAAAAAATGGAAGAACTTGAGCTCAGCTGAAATAGCTGCCTTAAATATTGACAAGGAGCATAATTCTACAGATGATAGGGAACTTAGAAGTATTTCAGATAATCAAGGTGCTCTTTCACTTGAAGCATTTGAATTTTGTCAGAAAAACTCTAGGGTCACGTTTTCAGCTTTCCAGACTTTGTATCCAACTGTGTCAGAAAAAGTGTTTCATGGCTGGAAAACCAGAATACAGGAGGAAATACAATACATCCAAGAAAATCTCCACTTGACATTTGATGACTATGCCAAGGTTTATACCAACACAAGCAAAGAAATTTTTGATCAGTGGAAGTCTGAAATGATTCAGAATTACCTCCGAAAGCCATCAGGGAAAGTTGATCAAGCAGGTGATGGACCACTAGAAACCTCAGATGAGGAAAACTTTGAGGAGGACATGTCAAGGGATGAACCCAGCAATCCTGAGACAGTGGACCAGAATGTTGAAGATGAGATATTTAGGAAGTCTGGTAATGGGGAGACTCTCATGGACCAGGAAGTCTACTCACTTTGTGTCGGGGAAAGTCTGGAAAATGAGCCAAAAGAATCATCACTGAGTAAGCTCGCCAAATTTGCTGATTCTGGTGCTGCTGCTCACCCCAGAAAAGACGCCACAGCAAAACTATTAACATCATTTGAACATTTGTTGGGAAACAACAACAATACATCTGTGAAACTAGAACCTGTGTCATTACCATCTGGTGATGATGATTGTCTCAGTTCTGCAGAGGCGTCCCTTCCTGCCCACCAGCTGCATTCTGAACACAATCCTTTGTCTGGAAAAGAAATGGGCAATGTTTATGCATCTGGTCCGCTATCCTCTGCATTGCACACTTCATCTTTGTCTGCACTGATGGCCATGACCAGAAGTGATGATACACACCACAGTGGAAGTAGTCCAGCATCAGCTCAGAAGGAGCCTGGGGGACACAGTGCCCAGTTTGTTTGCTCTGGAAACCTAAATTGGCAAGAAACTCCTAATGGATCTAATAGCTTCAGCAGTGCTGGGGTTAGCAAAGAAGACGATGAAGCCTTTTCCTCTCAGCGCCAAAAGAAAATGAGCCGTGCTGAGTACTTGTTTGTAAAAGATAACCCTGATGTTGATTCACAAGAGTTCTCTCGAATATTTCCTGGAGTATCAGCTCGCACATTTTACAGATGGAAAAAGGAAATCAAAACACAACTTCATCTAGCATAGGGTACTCATATTTGATGTAGCATGTAGCTGTCAACTGTAATGTCATTTCAACAGTACTCTTTCAAACAGTACATTTTTAGTTACATTTATTTTGAAATCAGCCTCTAATGAGAATTTCAAAGAGGAGAAATTTGTTTATTTTCTCAAATTCGTTACTGGAAATATAGTTAGGGTGGAAATTGATGTCAGTCATTTTTACATATTACAGCAATATGTTAATTAACGACAGCCATTTATGCTAAGCTAAGCTGTAAAGTATATACCATGAATGTTAACCAGTTCTTAATGATACTGCTGTTTCCACATTCTCTTGATAAAGTTGATTAAAACCGGAGACCTAGTTGTCATTCACTTTAGCAATAATGAACTTTGTTGAATCTTTGAAACTTTGTGTTGGCTGAATGCATGATTGTTCACTGCTCTAGCCATGCAAAGTTCGTCACAGGTGTGCAATAGTGATTTAACGTTGACCTTGCAGTTGGGGTCAAAGTTAATTTTGTCAAAACCAGGCTTATAAAACTTGACCCTGTTTGATTTGTGCCATGATCATGAATATGTTTGTAAAGTTGCTGTTGGGTTCATTTTGATTTTTTAATACGTAGCAGCTTTGCTGTTTTTGTGCGAGCTCATTCATGCATGAGACCTTTTCTTTTAATTTTGGAAGAATTATATTTTCAGATTTTGTTATTTGTAGATTATTCTTTTTGTGAAATTTTTTTCAACTAAAAAAATGTGTTAAGTTGTTGAAGCGTTTCTTGTTTAAAGTCACATAAGGACAGTATTTGGTGTGTTTAAAGTCATAGGGATGACTTTCTATGCCTTGTTTAAAATCACACTGGGATGACTTTCTGCAGCAAGTTTATAGTGACATGTGGAGGACTTTTTACGGCATGTTTAAAGTCCAATATGAACTTTCTATGCACTGCAACAGTTAGATTCATAGTATTCAATTTTTTTTTTTTAAGTGAAGCTAACTTTGTAGCTACATTCAGTGAAGCTAATTTTGTACAGTTGTGTCAGTTCTTTGATTTAAAATTGTTTTGTTTTTCTCTGTTGTGTTCAGCAGACAGTCATATCATATTTGGTAAATTGTTATTTCATTTTAAAACGTCTAGAAAGAGAGCCATTGTTTGTTATTCTAATGGAACAGTGTAATCAATTTTTGTTTTATATATTAAGTTTTTAACTAGTTCTTGTCTATAGTTTTGTTCATATTGACATTCTGTGTTTTTAAAAAAACAACATATTTGAGCTTTGCTTTTGAAATCATGAATGGTGATTCCTAATGTTGGACAAGTGTTTATTGTAGCTTAACTGATTATATTATTAGATGAAATAAGACAAATTTTGCTGACTAAATTGCAATTTGGTACAATCATGTATACTTCTTCCATATTTCTTGTATTTGATCAGCTCTGTATTGTACATGCCTACAATAGTGTATGGCTGCAGTTTATCATGTTGTTTGTTGTGAGAACTGCTATTTGTATGTTTTTATGTTTGGCGATATTATAGACAGGTAAACAATAACAGTAAACTGTAAGGAGACTAATTGCATACCTCGCAGGCTTCAGTATTTCATTTGAGCTGATGTTTATTCTGCATGAAGGCTTATAAATATGTAAATTGTTTTCATCTGATTGTCTGTAAAGCTGTGGTAGAAAAGTGGCTGGTGCTGGCTCAGTTCTCCTATGGCCTGACATTTCCTCCCACAAAACAATTTCATTACAGTGTCGTTAGATGTGCACAATAAAGGGAATCAAATGATGTGACAGAATCACTAATGATGAGCTCTAGGAGAAAACAAGTTCTAGTGGATCAAGAGGTGAGCAAAAGATGCTGGCGTTGGATGGGACACATGCAAAATTCTGAAAACAACATAGCTAGAATGTCTTTCCACCCGGACCCATGGGGCATTGAAATAAAAAACAAAACACGGAGAAGAGAGCTGGAGAGTGAAGTTAAAAAGATGTGGAGGACATGGGGACTGCTAGATGAGATAGCAAAGGCTAGAACAAATTATCATGAATTGTTTGATGGCCTATGCTCCATTAGAAAGGCAGAAGAAGAAGAGAGCTAAGGGCCTGCTGCGAGATGGGGTGGATTTATGTGTTGTTGTATTTTGTAACATAGTTCTACTGTATAAAAGATAGCCAAACTGACGTTGCTAGGATACAAACATGTAACATACATAGTGTTGTTAGTTGTAGGTGGGTGTTGTAAATACGTTTTTTTTTGTAACAACTGATTTTATTATCATGAAGATATTTGATAATACTTGGACGGACTGAGTGAACCTGTATGTATTTTGTGCAAGAAAATTTAGCCGACAGAAACATAATGAAATAAAATGATGTCTTGTCAGTGTGTGACAGTATCGTTGTTTATGTTTACATGAGTAGTGTTTGTGCTACCTTTATTATAAAACAAAGATCATTACATTACATGATGTGCAATATTGCAGCGTATAGCGTAACACCTGATTTATTGTTTTTGTTGTCTGGGTGTGTCTTTGCTGCACCGTATCATTGTTAGTGAAGAGACGCATAGTATGTTATCTTATGTGTAATATCATAGTTGTGCTTCTAACTCAATACTGTTAGCATTTTGAGTGTTTTTGTTTCTTGTTTATGTTATGTTGACTGTATTTGTGGACATACACTGCTAACATCTATGTTGTTATTAGTACTGTTGTACTGTATGAAGCATCCCAGGTTTGGGTGTTCTCTGAGATTACTTCTTTATCACAGAAGTACCGATATTTAGTTATGCATTTCTGAAGCAATATTTCTTATGTACCATTTTTCTTAAGGGAATATTATACACTATCCGATTAGGACTGACAGGGTACAGTAAAATTTGAATGTGTCCTGCCAGCGCAGTTTTGTGTGAAGATCTTGATGCTGATTTTAAAGTGAATTGTTGCTTTGTGATGACCACTTTATCGTTGTGTTCACAGACTGCTGTAGATAGGTGGTACTGTAATGTAGGTACACTGTTTGTGTTTCTGTTACAAATATGCATCATTGTTAGTTGATAATAAAATATTACAGTGTGGGCAACCTTTTTTTGTGTGTCCCCTGCTCAGTCAGTTGTGGAGATAAGCATGTTATTTGTGTTTATCCTTTTATATTGGTTTTATTGTAATTAAGTAAATGAAAGTACTTCAGAATTATAATAAAAGTAGATATGAAAAAATGTTTATCTCTCAGAACATTGAGACATGTTTGGACTTCCAAAAAATGATACCCGTTGTAGACTATAGAAAACTGTGAGCTACTTAGTCACATATAAATACTCCTAGTGGTTTATCATCATCAGTTTAAAGGGAAAAAACATGCGGCTTGTGGCTTACTTAGCTCAAGTCACACCATGTTTGAGTTGATGTTTGCCCCTCTCTGTGTGTGTCTGTGAAGACACAAATTTCATGTAATAGTATTGTGTTTATTTTATTCTGATTGAATAGATATACAATATTTTATTTTATTCTGATTGAATAGATTTACAATATTTTGTTTATTTTATTCTGATTGAATAGATATACAATATTTTGTTGTTAGCGTCTTTCCCGACAGTAGTTTGGTTTATGGTTGATACAAAGGATCAACATCTTGGTTCAAGAGTAGTAACCGATAAGTGCTCCATTCTACTCTTAACTAAAGCTTGAGTCTGAAGAAGCTTAGTTCAATGTATGAACTCTGTAGCACCGGCGAGGATCCTGAAATATTTTTGGGCAGATATGTTAACTCAAAATTTTGACCCAGCAACGCTGTTAGGATACGCTTTTCAATTTCCAGCTGCCAGGTTTTTTTTTTTTTACTTCGGCAACAAAACACACAGGTGTCCGATCATTCTACCCAAAGACCAGGGGAAATTACTAGAAGTCCAGGTGAAAAAATCCCAGTCTTAACCCAGGACCTCCAGCACTCGAGGTGGATGCCATGCTTTGAGACGACCCCCCCCCCCCCCAGTAGTGTTTGTTATATAATTGAAAAATCCGAGAGTTTTGGAATTCAGCAAGAAGACTACAATACATATGTAATTGAAATTCAGCGAGAAGACTATATATTACATTTGTAATTGAAGAGTCAGAGAGTTTAGGTATTCAGCCATGTTGTTTGCAAACTGAAATTTAAAAATAGTGGCCGTAATTGTCTTTCCCAGATAATTGTTCAAGAATTTTGCAAACTGCTGATGCACAAGCTATCATGAAATAGGCCACATATAAGAATTGTGCCACTATTATCTGACAGTGGCCAACTTTTTAATCTTCCCAAACTTACCAACAGCTCTCATCAAGATCTGCAACTATGCATGTGTATTTTCTAATGCTTGTGATTCTGTATTGTGTTACATGCAAAATACTTTTATGTGCATTATTATTTAAATGATTGCTATGACAAGAGAAACCAAAATCTGATAAAGAGTTGCTTCCTGAACCGTCTCGCCCCATGACAGTTTTTTTTTGGCTTTGGTTGACATATCTATAGAGAGTGCCCTGTACACCTGTATGCCACCTTTGGTACTGGTGGCAACTACACAATATGAAGTCTTGGTTGGGATGATTATATTTGCTGCCAAACTTTTTTTTTTTTTTTTTTTACATATAATTTGGGTTGTGGAAAAACAAACGATTTAAAAAAAAAATATTGAATTAACCTTGACATCGTGTAATTTGTTTATTCCGTCTGTGACAAAGTGACCATAAAACCACATTTAAACAGTCAAAGGTAAGGTAATTAGTTAGTTTTTTTTCTGTGTTTATATTTCTTAATTACTTCCCTTTGAATAAATGTACTTTTTCTCGATTTAGACATTTAAAGACTGAAAAATTCATTTAGTGGCTAAAATTTACTTTATTTTAATGTAGCTGAAGAGGTCAGAATTGTTTCTCTAAGATGTTCAAAGGGTAGCATGGTGGTTACAGTTACTGCCCTTGCTTGTCAAGAAGTGGTCACAGTTGAAATCCAAAGCAAAGGCAGGAGTGTATTTACTGGCCA